CCCTAATTGCATGAAAAACACGGCGATTGTTTAGATGAGTATAGCATATGCAAAACAGCTTGTGAAATCCTAACCTTTAGAGAGAAGCACACAAGACAGCAGCTTATTCTTTCACTCCTAAGCCCAGCAAATATCTTGTGAATAAATCCGTGAAGGCAATCATACGTAAAGAAAAGAGGTGAATGTTCCTCTCAGTTTTGCAAGTGAAAAGGCAAGGAGCCGAGGCCTTTCATGTGAGAGCATGGAGTATGTTTCTGCAACACAGATGCTGCCTGGGTAGGATAATCAGGAGCACACTGCCGAGGAACTCAAAACATCAGATATCCCAAACATGCTTCTTATCCTTTTCCTTTCATGTTTTTCTAAATTTATTTTTTATTTTGTAAATCAGCTATTGTCCCCCCTTCAGCACTTTGCATGTTTATTCCTGAAGTTACAGGGAAAGGGTTGCTTTCCCCCCCATGCACCAGAATAGCTCGTACTATAAACTCGTCTCTGACGGGAACCGTTTCCCGCAGGAAGAGCTCGGAAACAATTTGTCCCTAGCAGATGATTTTTCTATCAAGTGCATTTCCTAGGAAATGTATGTCATAAGGCTAAACAGCTAAATTGGATAACATGCAGTGTCCTTCCAATCTCCTGAGCTGAATCCATTTGGATACCCAACACATTTTAATGGGTCACGTTCTGCTTCGTTACACGGTCTGTAGCTCCTGAGCAGCAGGGAAGCAGGTCTCTGTTTCTTGTAAACTGTTTCATGTCCTCTTTCCTGTTGGGGAAAAGCTCTTAATGAACACCGAATTGCTTTCCAGCTGAAATAGGGCATGTTGTATAACAGAAATGCCCACCAATAAATGGTAAAACCGCCTTTTATTGCAGAAAAATGGCCTCATTTTAACAATCATTATCAATTCTGATAGCTGATAAAGACATAACACATGGGAGTGAGATGCCAACAGCAGGCACTAAAAGACAGCTAGTTCCTCTCGAAATCATTATGAAAAAATCCACTGTTAAATCCCATTTTCCTCTCCCATTCCCAAACGGCCGGGCTGAGATTAAAGCTTCAAAGGACACTGGAGACAGCTGTCCATGTCGTGGGTGAGCCTGGCTCTGCAGAGCCTGGAGGCCAGAAGGACCCCTCAGCAGGGAGCGTGTGCTCCCCAAGGCCAGCCCCTCGTTAGTGGGAGTGCGGTCTGCAAAAGCCTTATAAAGCTATACCTGCTTACAGCTAAACCCTCATTTATTCAGTATTCAGTATTTGTAATACATAATTTTCTTCTACACAAACGGTTTGCATACTGACATTTTCTCTTATTAAGACAATTTGGTGTATCTGCTTATTTGATGAAAAGCATAGATTAAGGAAATTTACAGACTCTTGACCTTGTTCCTTCCCTGTTTTTCATTTCACGCTGCATGTCTGGTCACCTGAATCAGACATCAGTTTTTCTGCTTCCTGATTAGATAAATGGTAACTTTAAAACAGGAGAACAATATATGTGGGGCGGTTATTTAAAATGTGGGGGTGTTCCAGGAAATGTTTTTTAAACTCGTTTTATTGTAGAGATTTACAAAGCACTGAAGAGAATCATCTACTAAAACAAACAAATATAAAACCTGTAGTACTGTGAAAGAGCTACTCCATGTTTTTTTACTATTCTCAGGGTACCCAACACTAAAAAGGTATCTTTTCCTTTTAAATACTTGGTAACTTTATACTTTAAAAAGTGATATCCAATATCTAGTAATAAAAGGTAGTGGATACTGTCTTATTACATTTTATGTCTGAAAATTCCAGCAAAGGATAAAAAATGTTTTTAAAATGTGAAGTGTGAAGTTCTTGAGCTCTTCAAAGCTGGAAGGAAAAGTTTTTTATTTACTACTGTTTGAGTTGGAGCTACAGACCTGCACATTTTAATTTAAAATATTAACCAGGAAGAGAATATACATTTGAAATTATTGCATCTCCTTTCAATAAAGGAACATTTATTTTATATTTGAGATTTTACAGATTCTCTAGGGCTAGGAATAGCAAAACCAACAGATTTCTCCTTTTGACATGGAAGACCAATATTGATGTAATTTGTTTGAATATAAATTTGCCTGTTGTGGAGATACTGCAGTATCTCCTGCAGGCCAGTTGACATCTACAGTTATTCCCCAGATATTACGATCTAGCATCAGGGCAAGAAGCCAAATTAATTGATCCCAATGCAAAAGAGACGATATCCCTTGGTGAAGCAGTTGCTCATGTTGGTAGAGAGGTAAAGGAAGAGTTATGGGCAGAAGGGCAATGCGGGCAGCCTGGCATCGCCACGGGGTTGCACAGCAGTGGTAACAACATAAGGCCAGAAGAGGGTGAAGCTTGTAGTATTTGGTTTCTCATTTCTAGGAAATTTTTCATTTCCTAGCTCCTCTGAAGGATTTCAAAGTTTCTGAATATCTATTTCCCAGCTGTCTCGCTGAGGGTGGAGATGCAACTGGGGACATGCCTCTGAAAGATTAGAAATGCACCTGCCAACAGAGGCTATTTGATCTTTGTGCATGACCCCACGCTGCTGCAGGATGCAGCCGACAAAGTATAGCTCTTGAAAGTGAAAGTTATTTATGTCAGGTCCTTGAGTAACAAAACAATATCTACAGAAATGTGTATTAAGTTGCACGGAATTATGGTAGAAATATTTCTGACATTATAATACCCATAAAAAAGTTCCAGCAGAAGCACACGAGAGTTATGTGCTACCTGTGCAGGTCTTATTGGCACATACCTTTTGTATGGACAAGCAATGCTGATAAGAGATAAGTCAACAATCATAGAATAGCCAATAAAACAAAACAAAAAAACCCTCCTAAAGTTCAAAGATTTTAGAGTGCATGAATGGAAACAAAACCACATGAAAAGCATTAAATTTAACCAACTTCACACAGACTGAGAAAAGCAAGTATTTCTGCTTTCATCTCAGTTTTAGCTGGATCTAAGCAAAATCCTAACTCTGGAGTCATTCGGTGGTGCATCACTAATAGTAGTCATGACTTAAACATTATTCTAGGCATGCTTTTATATCTGTGTTTTCCATATTGCCTGCTATCATACTGGACCACTAGTGCAATAAATCCCCCACAGACCTTGTGGGTCTTATATTTTACACGACTGGCTTTCAACATCCTGTTTTACTTCGTGATGTTATTGCATGAATTGGTGTCTTGAAATTGGCAAAATTAAAATAACAGTAATTCTATGGCTTTGAACTTTACTTGAATACAACGAAATTTCAAGTTATATAAAGCAGACTAATATAAAGTCTCTTCTGGCAATTACACAGAAGGGTCAACACTCTGGCCAAGAAATTATAATTTTCACAAAGTACTCATATCCCTCTTCTCTAAATATGCACTGGGAAGAAAGTAATTTTATTTTAAAGCAAATATCCATGCATTATTACAGTGCTCTGGCACCGTTTAACCTCTGCCATAAAATCTCAATTATAATAAATTACCCTTTTCAAAAATTTGTATCTGAGATAGATCTATGTAACACAAACCCAGATTGGATTCTAGTAATAATTCTTTGTAGAGAGACAGTAAAGAAGGACATATAAAAATATATCTACATGTACATACACACACGTCACCACACTTTTATGCTTTATATCAGCGCATTAAGTTTCACTATAAAGCTGCAGTAGTTACGGTTGTAGTGCTAAAACTCTTTGGGGCTGAGATTTTGCAGGGGGAGAGGAAAGGGAGGGAACGTGCTTTGGTACTACTGCCAGTCCTGCAGAGTTGTGGCAGTCTGACTGCAAAAAAAAGCTCAGCTGCCTTCCTGAAAAGTAATTTTATTTGCGTGTGGACAATTACTAGAGCAAATCTACTCACGTAACTTCACAGAAGAAAACATCATAACGAATTTGAGCCAATATATGCCAATATATACAGAATAGTTAAATGACAATATATACTGAATAATTAAATGTATTGCAAGGAGAATAACCTACTTTTTTTTTTCTCATTTAAAAAAACATTTACGTCTGAGATGTGAATTTTGAAAATATTTAGGTTTCTGCTTAAGGAAACTCCCACCTTTTGAATTCAAATCTAAAATAAATCTGTTTTGTGAAAATATATCTTTTTAATTAATTTTTATTTGATGAGGTATAAAGATTTTTAATATAGGTAAATCATACATGGCAACACAGATATTTCTATTATAAAAATGGCGGAGGAATTTGCATACCATAGATTTGGATATATATTTTTAATTCCTCATCATTTCACTGTTTTCAGACCTCAGAGGCATTTTCCCCATCCATGACATACTATTCTTTATTCTGTAAACAATTCCACAATGTGCAGTATAGCATTGAATTCAGTGTAATGCAGTACTGAGTCCAGTAGAAGCACTTGCATGTGTAAAATTCTGCAAAAGGCTATTTGCATTTTTTATAACTAATAATCAACTTCTAGTCTATATTTGATTTTTTTCAGTGAAAAGATCTTTGATCTTTGCTTTACCAATATGTATACTGCATGAGAAAAGCTAAGCCTCAAGGCTCACCTCTAATAAGGAAAAAAATTTCAATATTATGGTTATATAATTTTAAAATCTTTGTGGTTTTTTTTTATTAGAGTTAACAGAAACAGAAAATTGAAATACTCGGTGTTTTTGCAAAGCCTGCAGATATTTCAGTTTTACTGCTATAATTATCTCCGTAACATATTACATACAGAAGCAAGCAGTTTTCTTTCCCAGTGTATTAGCTATGAAATTAAATCTGTGCAATTATACTGCTATTGTTTCAAAACAATGCACCCCTTGCTTTAATATGCAGCCTATATGTTAATTTCAGAAATAAAGAGAATACATAATTAACACTTCCACTGTGTCACAATGTGTTTCTGGATGTCGTTCAGCTGGTGAAGCTGAAATGACAAACACGGTCTGAGCAGTGGAGATGACCCCCCAGCTCTGCAAGAAAGGAAAAGGCGCCAGCTCTTACCTGCAGGCTGTTGAAGATGATGAAGAAGACTAACATCCAGAGGTGCCGGTAAGCCATGTGCAGTCCTCCCCACAGCCAGGTGACAGAAACCAGGGCAAAGAGGTACAAGACCAAGGGGATCTCTGAAAACCACAAACACAGCATTTCAGCTGGTGCGCCCTGGGAAAAACACTTTTTAAAGCATTACTGATGCAGGACCCGGTTTCGCCATCTCTGGCCAACCTTGGGGTTCATTCTCCAGTGATGGGCAGCCCTTCTCCTGTCCCAGCTGGCTGGGGGTCCCAGAGGTCTCAGGACCCTCCCTGGGGCCAGGAGAAGACCGGCAGAAGGGCACAGCCAGCTGGGGGGCTGGGGGATTGTGGAGCCAGGGGGACACAGCCTAGCTCAGCAAACCAGGCACGGGTGCTTTGCAGGTGGGGAGAGCACACGTGGAGTCAGAAAACGTGCTGACCTCGGGGGGGAAGCACGGGAGAGCTCTTGGCAAGCTCTGGAAATTTTGGGGGGAAACGGATTTTCAAGAATTGAGAGGAAAGGGAAAAGAAAAAAGCATTATCAATACAAAAACTGCCACGACTTTGGCAATTTATAGAATTACATAGAAATTACACAAATGGCTTATTCTCTGATTTGTTGTTAGTTTTACTGCAAGCTGAACATGAGAAGGCATCTGACCCTGTAAAACTTTAAGTGACAACCTCCGCTCATTCAAGGAGCCCCCCCAAAGACAGACTTTGCACCAGTTAACTTCATTCACCTTCAAAAATATGTGCAGAATCTGTCCTTAAGCACACATACATACAGCTGCATTTTATATTCCCTACTGTATTTACAGCATAAAAGATTTAAGGAATGCTGGCAGGAAGATGTCTGCGTGGACAAAGTTTGCACAAAGGAAAGCAGAAGTTCGCTTTCGCCCCCACCCGCTCCTGTTGCTGACAGCCAGGTACACCACACTGGCCCCCCCCGTGTTGACCGTATTCCCAGCAGACCTCAAAGTCCATGTCTGCCCAGGTCTGCACACTTCAGGGGCAGAGGTGCTCGGCCAGGCATTGCCCCTCTCTCCATTAGTCATGCAGCATCAGCAAAGAGCCGGGACACGCTCTTGACAGGCATCGTTCCAGAAACAGCAGTTTGGGAGCACTTAGGCATTTTGTATAATACTGTACAAATAGTAAGTGCCAGCCAAAGTCAAGACTACTTTCTAGCAAGGCAGGCAGTAGTTGCTTCAGGGTTATAACTATTGCTTTGGCAGAAATGTATGTGTATATTTTTATAAACAAGGGAATGACTTGAAGCGAAGCACATTGTGAGCAGGTACTGTGTTCCTAAACTTTCCCCTATTAAAGCCTAATACCATGCAGTAAAACCTGGGGGGCAAACCTGGGCTGTTCTGCAACCACTGTTTGATAGTGTGACATAACGTTCAACAAAGATATATATTTCCTTAGTGAATTATAATGAGATACTGTGTTACACATGAAAATTAACATTATACTAGGGTAGTGGTAACCTAGGACTAGAGGTAATAAAACCAAAATATTGAAGTAAACTTCGTTCTTTGGAACAGTTAACAAGGCCCTTTTTCTGCTGGAGGAAAAAAAAAACCCTGCTTGTTTTTACTGGAAAATAACAAAGGCCATTACAGCATTAAGAAAATTAGATTCCCTAAGTAAAGGTGCTTGAAAGCTCAGCTCTACTCATCGTTAAGGTACTCCCGTTCTGCCATTATGTCTGAGGACATGACATTAATCCTCTCCAGTTTGCCCAGTTGCAAATAGTGCTATTTCTGTGCATGCAGGATTGCGAGCTTGCTCTCAGTGGATGGGAGGATGCTGTGCTGTGAACCCCAGGCAGCTAGGGACCTCTAGTAGGACTCAAGGAGGCATTGTGGGTGGGTATTGGTGCCTTAGAATGGCATTAGATTCATGTATTTCATGTCACATGAGATCTAAAGGATCTGTACATGATCCGTATATACAACATAGGACCTGTGGAAGGTCCATTCCTTATGAAGAGAAAGCTGTAGGCCAGACTGGATAACCTTGGTTGTCTCAAACGACAATCGATGCCCATTAAGCACCTGAATCACTTCTCCCAGGGCGAGGTGAGGTCTGCCCAAAAATTTATTACAGAGACTTCCCCAGGATCCCTGATCCATAACATAACACTAATGACACGTGTATTTTTAAGAGCGGCATCAGGGGAAGAAGATTAAGGCTATGTACCTCTGTTATTTGTCTGGGAGGAACTCAATTTTGTTAGATGAACAGAATGGAAATGCAAAGTATTTCTCACGCCGCACTCCACAGGCACGAGTATCCCTTGCACACAAAGCACCCGTCTCAAAGTCCCTTGGGCAAAATGGAAAAATTCCTTGTGACCTCAACAGATGTTGAAACAAACTTTTTCTATAACAGCTACTAATATACATGGCTAACATCACAATGCTTTTACAATAATTAAAAATGCAAAGCCTCTAAATCACCAGGTAGTACAGTAAGAAGTAGAGCATGAAGTATTTCTCTTTATCCTACATTGCATACACTAATGAATCCAAATGCTTATTAGATGTGTACTTAACAATGTTCACAAAAAAACCAGCAAAGAACTGGCAACTTCAAAGTTTTTGAGGTCATAATAATGAAATTTACCAAAATAAAAAAAAAGAAAGCATACATCAAAAAGTGTTGCTTTTTGTAAATGCAATTCTAAAGGTAAATTCAGTAATTATCTGTAGAGCAACTCATTGATTTATTTGTGCACAGATATTAATGGAATGATATCTTTTTGTTTAAATCTCAAAATCATGCCATAGACTTTAGCTGCTTACGAAATTCGACTGATATAACGGACTGGCAACTAATGATCACTAATGCACACAATTCTAAATGCTCTGCATAGACCAAAGCAAACAACGAAGAGAATTATCTCGGGAAGTTGAATAATGATTTGGCTTTTGTATTACTTTGCAATATGGTCCAACTTAGGTGGGGGGCAGGGGAGAGAAGAAAGCAAATTGTGGAAGGACAAACTGCAGGCAGTAGAACATGCCAAAAATTAACACCATTATTTCTGCTTTTAGTGCATAAACATCACCTAAGGAAAAATACCACAATATTAATCATAACCTAGCATCTCTAGATCGTTGAAACCATAGGTCACTGAAATAGCCATGTACATAAAGCTGAAGGAAATGGAGGAATATGATATCTAGATCACATAGTTTTGATGTACAATGATCTGACTTTATTATCTTCAAGTGTGAGGGGGAAATTTGATAAATTCAGTGCTATCTCACCAGAATAAATTTACCACAGGTAAAACCAGAATCAAACTCACTGAAGCTAACAAGATGTCTGTGGAGTGTACCTTGAGTAATTCTGATAAAATTTTATGTAATGAATGCTACTCAGTACAAACATGTCAATTTATATATGCATTATAACAATAAAGGTGGTCTGAAGATACCTGGTTTTTGCCAGATACTGAATGTTTGTACAGTTTATGATTGTGCTTTTATCTTTGTCAGTAACAATTGCTTCATTAGCAGTATTGTAAAGGGTTAATAGAGAGTTGAAACTTTGGCAGCATTTAGTTTCAGCTGTTTGAATTCTCTTTACCCATTTTGAGCAGACAAATTTGTTGTATATAATCAAACAAAAGCTCAATTACTAGAACAAACATATCAGAAAATTGGCCACAATGTCTTTTAAGTTTGTAAAAACAGCCCTGCGTCAAGGAAAAGGATGCCAATAAATAGGCTTGAAATGAACCAAAATAGACCGTCTAGTTATCTGTGGTTTCCTTCATATGGAAAGAAAACCAACCCCCCCCCAAGCAAACAAACTCAAAGGGTACTTCTGGGCAGATGAACCTTCACTGACAAGAATTTTACTCTAACTCCAAGTGCAAACAGTCGCCTTTAGACTACTTGAGTAATGAGTAAACCTTAGCAGATAAAAGACTGCCGTGGAGCAGTCAACTTAGCACAGTGTGATGTAGGGGAGACATTGTCAAGCAGCTCTGCTGGGCATTGCATATTCGAACCATGCTGGTCCACATTTTTTTTACACTATTATCACACCTTTTTTTAGTACTAGGAATGATGAAGGATTTTATTTACGCAGCAGTCAGTCCACCCACTCCTTAAATATATATATGTATCTATGTATGTATATATTACCACCCTGACTGTTCATGCCTCTCCTGAAATATCTCCCCTTTTCCCTAATTACAAGCTTAAGAAACATTGGCAGAGTTGACGACTCAATACAGATACATGGAGCTTATGCAGCTCCAGGTGCACTTTTTTAGAGTTTGAAAACTTACCATAGTCCAGGTTGGTATTTGACCCGGTGAAATTACATACGTACAATTTACCAAACAACTAAATGTGCCCACTCTCTCACTTCTTTCCCATTGCTGAGAGAAGATTGTTTTCCTTATTAACTTATCTATAAAATTTATTTATTCTGCAATGCTTACTGTTCTGAGGGCTGCGGTACATTGTAATCAGATTTTATGGGTGGTAAAACTGTAGTTTTACTACAGTAGGGGGGTCCTTAGCGTAAACACAAGATTTTGTCCAGTGATTTACATAAAAATGATGCTGGTGAGAATTTGAAAGATAGGCTACAATATTTTCATGATAGTTTTGGATTAGATTACAAAATTCATGAACCAGGAAAAGTATTAAAGTGCTGGAAAAATTGATTTACATCAATGGGAACCTAAAAGGAGCTGTACTGGGTATGAACAAAAGCTTATCTGGCCTTGCCTCTAACAAGGGCCAAAAAAGCTGGCCAGATGTGATACTTCTCCCGGCAATTCTCCCATTTACAACTCAGGAGCTTCCTGAACCAGACAGGAACAGTTCCTGAACAGTTTCTTTCTATTTAGTAATCTTCAGGGGACTTCTCTTTCACAAACTCGTCTTGAACTAATTACGGTGAACTTCTTTGATAGTTCAGAGTATCCAGTGGCAAGGTACTACACAGGAATAGTATAAGATTCAGGTAATAAAATGCCAGATTGCTCAGCTGAAACAGCTGTCAGCCTTGAGTTTTTTGTTTAGTTTCCTTAGAGCAGAAGCAAGAACAAGAAATAGGAGGAAACAAAAAAC